AAAATTATTTCTAAAATTATATAAAAATGATTTATATTTACAAAAATTATATAATTGATTATTATTTGCTATTATAAATTATTATTATATATATTTAATATTAGTCTCAATTTTATAAAATAAAATTTATTTATATTATAAATTATATATTAAAATAATATTAGTCTCAATTTTATTACAAAATATATATGTGTGGCATAGTGTGAGAGAGACAGAAAACGTGTTGAAAATGTTTGTCATAGTGTCATAGTGTCAGAATGAATTTGAATAAATATATATGTGTGTCATAGTGTCAGAATGAATTTGTGTTTGAAAATATTTTGGCCAAAATCGTGATTCAGAACCGCGAGTTTAGAAGAAATTTTTTTTGGATAAAAGTGTGGTTCAGAACAGCGAGTTCAGAAGAAATTTTTTTTTGGATAAAATCATGGTTCATAACAGCGATTTCAGAAGAAGAAAAAAATTAATTAAAAGCGCGTTTTGTGACCTCGATTTCTTAATCAAAAGCGTGTTTTGTAACCACGATTTTAAGATTTCCTATCTACGCGAGACAGTCGCATATATGTTGAAATCGTGGTTCACAACCACGATTTAGCCTATTTTGAGAATTCTTTCAAAACTAGGCTTAGTTTGGAAATTGATTTAGTATTTTGACTTATTTAGGAAAATGTCCCGTAAAAAAAGGGTCCGAATTAAAATCAATAGAAGCAAATCATATCGCACATAAACGGTACACAACAACTCACGCTCAAACTCAATATTTTTTGGTGCTTATTTCTATCACTGACCTAGGTATGAGAGAATCATCTGACTAAGTACCGATTGGATTTTTAGGCGATCAAATCTAGTAGCAAAGTTTATCTGACGTTGTTACAAGATGTGATAAATTTTTCCCCACACTGTACATAAATGTCTAAAAAATATCATATATAAAGTGTTTTTGAAGTTTTTCACCAAACATTTATCTCTACATACAGACTGTCATTAGCTTGACCCATTAAGAACTTGGCATCCAAAACTTCTGATTTGAGCACAAACCATTTCAAGAGCATCATAAAATGGCAAATAATCCAGATTATAAGTTAATTATATCAGAATAAAACTCATCATTATGGAACACAATTCATCGTTCTAAAAATAAATTCTCATAAACACATCATTTTCATTACCAAAATAGTCCAGATTAGAGCGTCAATGGCTCAATAGAAACAAACGCATGCCATGAGTTGCCAAACACCATTGAAACTCTCATCTACTAAGCTTAAACCAATTCACTCTAAACCCAAATTACCCAAAAAAACCACAATAATAACTAAACTACAAATAAACTACCAAAATAAAACCTGTGTTCTAAGTCTAAAACTCTGTAATATTTAAAAACAAACACACACACACACACACACACACACAAAAATGGAAAACCCTAACATCTTTGTCCATATCATCAATGCTTTCAAGCAGCTTGGTCACCTCCAGAGCTAACCATGAATTGAAGCTCTTTCTTATCATAAATCTCCAGAGAAAAATCCCTCAGCATCTGTGTAGTAGTAGTGGTGGTGGCGGTGGTGGTTGAACTTGAACTTGGAGCCATTATTGACACCTTCCCAGACTTCTCTCCACTCGCACTGTTCGACACCAACCCCACCGGAGCTTGAACTTCACCACCGCTGCCGCTGCCGATGGAGACACCAAAACTAAGTCCGGGTTGCATTGCGGATACATAATTTGAAACGGGTCTGGCCGAGACATTGAACATAGGCATTGCTCCAGCCGGAATGGACCATATCTGAGGCTGATTCGAGGGTCCAGCAATGGCGGTTCCGGGTGGTGGAATCATGAAAAAAGCATTCGGTGGAGCTCCACCGCCGGCTACGGCCCACACCGGCAACAGTCGTTGCGGCGTCATGGTCGTGACCAGAGCGAAATTCGACGGAGCCGGAGCCGGAGCCGAGTCGCTCACGTCGATGAACTCACTAGTGCAAGCCCTCTTGCGCTTCTTTTTGGCGGCTTGGGCTTCGGTGGTGGTCGGCGGTGTGGTGGGAATCTTCAGACTGCCGTTGACGGAGACGGCGATGGCTGGGATGGTGCCAGTTCCGATGGCTTCAAAGATGGCTAGCTTGGCTCGCTCGAGAAGCCATTTAACGGTCTCGCCGTCGGACTTGTGGCCGAGCTCTCGAGTCAATTGGAAGATTCTCGCGGCGCAAGCCGCCGGCATTCGGATTCTCCGGCCACGACCCTCCACCTTGGTGTGGCGGTCCTTGGTGGCGGACCTCTTGATCTTCCCCACCTTTGATTTCTCAATCATCTGGTTCGATTGATTTGATATCGGGACGACCCCAACTGTGATTGATCCTTCTAGCTCCAAATCAGTGGGCTCATCCTTCAACGACGGAATAACAATCGGCAGCGTAACCTCTGTGATAGTAAATTCTGATGAGTCCCCCAACAATGGATCAGACGGTACAATCTTTGTCGCTTCATCAATGCTTTGTATCTCAATCGACGCCATGTTTTCCAATATGATAAAAAACAACCCAGAAAAAATTAATCCAAATCCAGAAAAAAATTATAGAGACTAAAATTGAATGTAAAAGAAAAGATAATTAAAATTAAAAAAAAAAGTAAAAAGGGAGAGGAGGGATTGAATGGGACGAACCAAACCCTAGACGAGGAGCCCAACGAAGATTGTATCGTCTGATCCATTGTTGGGGGACTCATCAGAATTTACTATCACGGAGGTTACGCCGCCGATTGTTGTTCCGTCGTTGAAGGATGAGCCCACGGATTCGAAGCTAGAAGGATCAATCACAATTGGGGTCGTCCCGATATCAAATCAATCGAACCAGATGATTGAGAAATCAAAGGTGGGGAAGATCAAGAGGTCCGCCACCAAGGACCGCCACACCAAGGTGGAGGGTCGTGGCCGGAGAATCCGAATGCCGGCTGCTTGCGCCGCGAGAATCTTCCAATTGACTCGAGAGCTTGGCCACAAGTCCGACGGCGAGATCGTTAAATGGCTTCTCGAGCGAGTCGAGCCAGCCATCTTTGAAGCCACCGGAACTGGCACCGTCCCAGCCATCGCCGTCTCCGTCAACGGCAGTCTGAAGATTCCCACCACGCCACCGACCACCACTGAAGCCCAAGCCGCCAAAAAGAAGCGAAAGAGGGCTTGCACTAGCGAGTTCATCGACATGAGTGACTCGGCTCCGACTCCGGCTCCGTCGAATTTCGCTCCGGTCACGACCATGACGCCGCAATGACTGTTGCCGGTGTGGCGCGGTAGGGACCCTCAAACTGCTCTTTATATAGAGAGGAGAGAGAAGGAAATCAATGGCTGGTGAGGCTAGTGCTAGTTGTGGGCTTGTTTGATGGTGACACGTGGCGGGTTTACCATGAATGGGATTTGGCTTTTAATTTGGTCAATGCTGGTTTGATTTCTCCCGATAAATAGTATTTATTATTTTGGAGGGGTCGGTTGGAGAGATTTGGAAAAATAAATCAAACTATTAAAAATGCAAAATAGAGTGTTTTGAAAAATTGGTAAAAAGTTAATTTTTTGACTTTTTTTTAGTTTATTTTATTTTTTTGTGAGTAAAAAATATGAGAGGTGATGTGATTCAAAATAGGTAAAAAGTTAAAAGCTAAGTAAAAAGCTATTTCCCAAAAGACCCGAATATTTATCCATGTAAAATTCCGTATAGCAAGATAATTAGAACTGGTAGAAAATAAATTAAAAAATTAATAAAATAAAATTTCATGTTTAACATATAATTTTTTTTTTTGTAAAATTATGAAAAATTAAAAATTAATTCCAAACGAGACTTTTTTTTTTTTGTAAAATTATGAAAAATTAAAAATTAATTCCAAACGAGACTTTTTTAATTAGGTAAAAATAATTAAAAAGTTAAAAAATCAGGCTAAAAAATTATTGTCAAACGAAGGCTAAATCTAAAGGTAATTACTAAAATAAATCTCAAATTTTGACTATTATAAAAAGAAAAATTAAATTAATTTTTAATTTTTAATTTTTAATTTTTAATTTTGTCAATTTAAATTTAATTTTTTTTATTTATTTTCAATCTAAATCATCACTTGAGTAAAACTAACACAATAATAATATTTTAGCTATCAAAATTCATGGAAAAATTACCATTAAGGTAGAATGTCAAAAATTATTAAACATTAGTGAAAAAATTTATGATTTTAATTTATAACATTTATTATTTTTTTTGTAAAAATTAATTCTCCTAAATTCAATGTAAGGATATATAAAATGTCTAAAATATATTTTTTATTTACTTTAATGATTAAAATATTTTTTTCCCTGTTTTTACCTAGCAAAAATAGGAAGGTAGTTTAGATTGAAAATAAATAAAAATTTTGATTTAAATTAATAAAATTAAAAACTCATGATTTATTTTGTGACAATAGCCATACACCGAGATTTTTTTTTTTGAAATTACCCCTAAATCTAATTATAAATTTAACCACATAATTTTATTTTATTTTTTTGAAGTGTATGTAGATTAAATGGATCTGAAAAGTTAAAAAAAAAATGATTAAGATATTAAAAAAAATATTAAAAAAATCATTGAAAAAAAATATATCAATTAAAAACTTATAAAATTGTTTATGAAAGGTGGTGAGACTTCACTATAGAACTGTTTTATTCAGATTGTTTTAATTTTAGTTTGAGCTATGCTGGTGCACAAAAAGAGTATTGTCACAAAATGCATAACTGTCTTACATGAGAGTGGGGCTACACATGTGGAGTCCATGTGGGCTCCACCCTTATGGGAGAGAGTTATACATTCTGTGCACAATATTCTCTATGCACTTAGTCCAAGTTTGTTTGGCTCCATAAGGTAAAGATGATTGAAAGTATGGTGAGATTAAGTGAAAAAATTATTAGTGTGGTAGCATTATGTTGGAGATATAGAATAAAAAGTGTTTGTTTGTACACTACCGGATTAGTAATACTATAAATAGTATTAATTTATAAAATTAATAATTTTTTAATTTTTAGTATTTTTTTAATATTATAATTATTTTTTTGTTCTAAAAAATATAAATTTTTGCTTAAAAATCATTTAAAAATTCAGCAATCTCCTCTCTCAATTTCTAATCCCAACCATTTCATAGCTTTGTTAGTCCTATCACATGGGGGATTACTAGTCCAAGGGAATAATTAATTCCCTCACTCGTGTACCCAATCAAACACTCTTTAAGTGGGTCCTATGAATTATTAGTCTAATTCTCCTTCCTAAAGAGTCAAACAAACATAACCTATTTTTTTTTTTTTTGAACTGACATAACCTAGTATTTCTCTTTTGGTTTTTTTAGCAATGTTAAAGGATTTAGGGAAAAAAAAAAAAAAATAAAAACAACATAGAAGCTTCATGTGTCCTGAGGATTGCCTGAAACTAATATGCTCAATGCCGAAAGGTTACTCCATTTTGTCCAAAAGAAGCTAACCCGCCAGATGGCCAACTAGGCCTAGCAAAACATGTCTTGTTGCAACACCAAGAAAATGAACAAATAAGGAATATGTAGGCGGCTCAACTAACCACTTCCGGTTAGATTACAACAAAACTAATATGAAACTAAAGTAAGAAAACAAATAAAGATAGAAAGTTGCAAGAAAATGAAGGAATTGAAACTTAATTATTTTACAACAAAACAATATGAAACAAAAACAGGAAAATGAATTTGAAATAGAAATGAAATAATTGAAAATTCACCTTCCAAAGAAATAGTGAATAGAGATTTCCAAACTTTCTCTTGATCTCCCTCAAGTTTGTGCGAATTATGCTCTTAATCCTCAATTCAAGAGCTTGGAATTTGAACTCAGAATAATGGTTTTGAACAAATGTATGATCACTCTTTAACTTCTTCAACTTCACAAGACTACTCTCTCTTTGATCAAGGCTTTAGGACTTGGTTCTTGAGTGGTTTTTGCAAAGGAAGATGAGATGCATAAAGGCTTGGTAACTTTACTATTTTGGCAAGACAACTCTCTTGTTTTCAAGGCTTTCTTTTGTCTTAAATTCTAAGTCAAATTTAGCATTCACTCAACATTTCTCTTCTAATTCATCTCCTCAAACTTAAGACTCGACCTCTCATTATATAGGCAATGCAAGTGGGCAATGGTAGAGGACAAAGTGGAGCATTTAGGAAAGATAATAAAGCTAATGGGGCACTAATGGAGCTAATGGGAGACAATATATAATGGAGGTGGATGGTAAGTGGTGATGGTGGCATGTGCTTAGGAAAGTAGATGGTGAGTGGGGATGGTGGGGTATGATTAGGAAAATGGATAATGAGTGGGGATGGTGGGGTGTGATTATGAAAGCGGATGGTGAGTGGGGATTGATGTGTAGGAAATTTGGTAGTGGAGATTAAAGAGCCAAGATTCGTTTAGTAGTGGAGATTGGTGAATTTTGGATGAAAAATAATTTGGCCAAAAATGTGTGAAGGTTAAGATTAAAGCTCAAATTCCATCTCTCTTACTGAGAATCCTGTGATAAACACATTCTGATTGTCATCATCGGGTAATCAAAAGAAAGCGCCCAAATCTTAAGGCTAGTCAAAATGGAGTGTCTACAGTTGCC